AGCTAATTTGGAAGTACCGACGCATAAAAATGTACAGTGGCCAAACTGGCAAAGTGCTACTTCTCAACCATTTTCTAAATGACATTTTGCTACAAATGGAATTTGGTTGCCATACATACTTCTGCAATTGCAAAAGAAACCTCTCAATGTGGATGCTTATTAGTAGCATAGACATCAAGTAACGGGACACCTAGGGCTGGTTCAGATATAAATGGCTCTCTTAAACTGTGGTAAAGAAATAGAGGACAGGCCATGAAATCACTTTGTCCCTTGCCATAACCTCCCTCCTGTCTAAAACAAATTTGTCCTACCCACCTTGATCATAGTTTTAAGCATTACTTTGGTATCAATATTACATGGTGATTGGGGCTGTCCTCTTAACAAGGATTTAAAAAGTGCATAATCCTGTGACTTACTCCTGGTCAAGAAAGGTTTTTCATTATGTCTGCAGGCATTAATGCAGAAATAACACTTCTGTGTTACTACTCTATGGAATCAATATGTCGTTCCATGATGGAAGAAAGGCAGGATAAATATAAGGAAATAAATACTTCATTCTGTATTGGCCATGTTCATTAACGGAGACTAGTGGGCACTTCAGCAATGGTAAATCTGTGATGTCTACTTAATTGATGAAGGTTGGCACTGGCTTCTTAAAATCCTGAGGTTCATCTCTCAACATTTATTATGTGGAGAGGCAGGATTCCTGATTTAGGCAAGGTTATTTTAGATTTATGTTTTAGCCTTTAATTATTTCAATATAGGAGAACCACAAAATAATTTGCTCATAAGTTCAAGTAAGGAGAGGTTGATAACTGAAGGCTAAGAAGCTTCTACATTATAGCAGTGCGGCAAGTGCTGGCTCTGTAAGATCAGAGGTGAAGGTTTTGAAAGGGATTATTGGCGTGCGTTTCCTATGGAACTTTTATTCTTGTGTTTGGTGAATACCTATGAGAATGTAAATCCTGTAGGTCACGACTTGCTGTTCTGTAGTTGCAATGAAGTAGTGGGAACAGCATTAAGTATTCTTAACTTCCTTGAGGTGTTTCCCCGCCCCCCAGTCCTATGAACATTTTATCTTAAAAACCAATTTACTTGATTGTTGCCATTAATGAATGTATGTGAAGTAGTTGAATAGTTGGGTAGTCGTTCTGAGCTTTCCAAAAACGGTTCTTATTTGGAACTGCTGGATTTCCTTTAGTACTTGGCTAATGATACAGTTGGGAAATATAATGGTTTTGTCGTTTTCTTTTCACTACCCTTTTCAATTAACAGCAGATTATTTCTGCTTGCAAACTACAGTGTGTCAGAAAAAGAAGTTATCTCTTTCGGTGACATGGGTGAAGCAAAGGACTATAATCTTTTAGGTTATGTCTTTAGTAGAAAATATTCCATGTTCTCAGACTTCTTATAGGGGAAACTAGCATGGGGTAATGGATAGCATTGGACTTCAACCAGAGAGATTCATTTCACAGTGAGCTTTGCACCAGACTCCTCTCCTCTGAATGTACTTTGCACTGAGCTCAGTGTAAGAAAAGTGGGATTAAGACAGGGGTAGGCCACCTAAGGCCCGTGGGCCGGATGCGGCCCAATCGCCTTCTCAATCCGGCCCACGGATGGTCCAGGAATCAGCTTGTTTTTACATGAGTAGAATGTGTGTTTTTATTTAAAATGCATCTCTGGTTTATTTGTGGGGCATAGGAATTTGTTCATATTTTCCCCCCAAAATATAGTCCGGCCCACTACATGGTCTGAGGGATGGTGGACCGGCCCATGGCTGAAAAAGGTTGCTGACCCCTGGATTAAGATGTAAATAAAATAAACTTGCATATAAACTATGATATAAATTAAATTAGATTGATGAAATGGGGGTAATTCTTTTGTTCTATGGAGACTTAGGTAGATCATATTAGCAACATGGCTTCTTGGTCAAAGCTACTTCAAATATGATGTTAATAAACCTAAAATAAGAGTTTCTTTCTGAGGTTACCATTGACATGTTTGATAGAAATGTGGGAGTCATGAAGCAAGGCATTTCAGAGGTATATGTTAATATATCTGGCACAAGGAGCAATTGTTATGCATTTGAATGAATCCAACCCAGGTTCTAGGCTGCATTCTGTTATGTTGCTGTTGCGTATAACCCCAGTGCTGACTTTTCCTGTTCTAAAAGAACCTTGATGCTTCCCATCCTCCTATACCATGAAAGTCATACCCAAGCCTCATTGGGATTCTGCAGTCAGGAAGACCTTGACATTGTTCTTCCAGACAGAGTGGAAATGTTAAGCTCTAGGACTCATATGCAGCTACTGCTTAGAGGCGATCAGAGAGGGCTTAGGCAGTCTCAATGGCTGAAAGCAAGCTACCATTGATAGCAGCAACAGTTGCCTACTCATTGCCATTTCATTGGGTTGGGCACTGACACCTCACACAGAGAATTACTCAGTAGAAGTTTCATTTAAAGTGGGAGTTTCTTTGGTCTAGAGAAGATAAAGTGTTTACATGAAGGTAGCACATTTACGGACAGAAGTTACAGAGTGCTCTGATCGAAGCATCTCGAAGGCATCCACATAGCAGCCGACTTTTTCTGTTCCAATTTAAATTGTGCAAACTTTATGTGTTTACCATCCCAGAGACCATTTTCAGTTGACTTTAAAATAATTGTATTACTTGCAGTATGCTCCTGACAACTCCTTCCTTTAATTGTGTGTAATTGAAAAAGTTGTTTTTGATTTTCTGGATCCTAAAAGAGGCACAAGGACTTTTTGTGGTTTTGTGAAGAGGTCAAAGCACATGATAAGCTGAGAAAAAATTCTCCTTGCTGCACAGTGATTGCTTCTTAAAAGTTGATTTTGTTAGGTACAAAGGTTTCCCATGCATTTCAAAATACTTGATGGCGGGAGTCTAATTCTCTGCTTTTAAGTCTTTGAGATGGGGGAAAAGCTACATTTGAAACATACTTCATACCTAACACTATATTCACGTATTTTGTTTATAGATATCAGTACTAGAGGAAAAAATAACCTGTGAGAAGCAACCCTTAATTCTCAGTTAAAGGAGTTAATGAGCAAATATTAGCACCCTATGTACAATGGATCGTATTAATTCAAAGGAAAATCAGTTTCTACGATCCCGTAAACATAACCTGGAGGATCAGCAGAGTGTCTGCTTCTGTTTAGAGCTCTGTTTGCATCTTTCCGTGTTAACTCTTTAACAATTTCTCCCCCTCTTTTATTTACATTGCACTCAAGTTTCCCTGGTACAAAAGATTTGCAGGTGCAAATATGTCCTGCCTTCATTAACTTCCCCTCCCCTTTTAAATTTATGTGATTTCAATTTTCCTTCCCTGTACTGTTAATTAGGGGATCCTCTAATCAGTACCATTATCACAGTGGTATTCATGTTTAGGAAAGCTGCTAAACAAATGCTTGCAAAATTGCTAAATGGCTAATTAATGTCTGTTAATTAAGAAAATTGCTCATGGTAACAAACCGTGCCATTGCTGGCAGCAGCTAGAAGGCGAACACTTGTTGAAATTACTAACATGGCAGGTATAGAACATCTGTTCCTCTGCTTTTCCTGAAGTGTGTAGCTGATTCTCATAATGTACTTACAAGTCTTGTTTGCTTTCCAGACCAATTACAATTTTGTGTTTGTTTGAGAGAGAAAAAATTACACAGGGAACATGTGTACATCATAGTGCGAATTTGGTTATTCATGTTCAAGAACTCACTTTTTTTTGAAATAAACTTCTTGTTTTCTGGGATTCCAGGAATGGAGGGAATTAAAATTATGTTTAATCCTACAGCCCTGCATTGCAGGGTTGAAACTATACAAATGAATCTTTTTCTTCTCAGGCGCATATAAGCTCCCCCCCCTCCCCGGTAAAATCATATCTGCATGCAAGATTAATTGTTGCCTCAATAGATAGTTAATCTTGGTGAAGGACCGCAGTTCTGGTCTCAAAAATGTGACACTATAGTCTTGTGTGTAGAAATGATAAGTTATTGCTGCTGCTACAAACTTCCTAGAATTGGAAGTCTAGGTAAAGCATGGAAACATGTTATTAAGCATTTTTTATTCTTATCATCATCATAAACCTTCTTGTTAACTTTCTCTTCTAAATTCTTAACCCAAGTGGCAAATGAAAACACAGAAAAGTACTATTGCTAATCTAATAGGAATATATTGCGGGTGAGCTAGTTTTGTATGTGTTCTTCAAGCCCTTATCCAGATGCATTTAATAGTGCAGGCTTGTGGAAGACTGAAACAGTACAGTGCAGTACACCTGGGGGGGGGGGCTTTTTGTTCAGCTTGTATAAGTTGTATTGCCCAGACCAATATCATGATCCATACAGCCAACGCAGATTTGCATTTTGTTTTGTTTTGTTTTTTGTTTACCCAAATCTGCTGAATTACATAATTTGAATAAAGCGTGCCTGAACGCGGGCAGATGCCAGGGCACAGTTGGCGGACATGTTGCATTTCTGCGGTGCCATGTGTGCAATTTCCAGTGTGAGACTAGACGAGGCAGGTTTTCCCCCCACCCCCACTCCAGATATTTTGGAGACTTTTTTGTGTTAATTGAGTTCACAGTTTGCATTTATTAAGGTTCGGCAATGAAAACATTTGCTTGCAGGTTATGTGCTGCCACACATTGCACCTATTTTAGTCTGTCCGCACAGCAGTAAAATTCCAGCACCGAGCAGCAATTCCAGTGTTGGACTCACTAGCGATCCCATCACAAATGTCAGAGGGCACAAGCTGTGTCGCTCACTCAGAATTAACAGCTCATTTGATGTGCTTTGACAGTTCTTGGTTTTGCCCGCATTCTCCCCCCCCCCGCCCCCCAATTTCTATTTCTTTTGGAAGTTTGCGATGTTCAGAAACAAAACATTCATTCCCTGTGAAGATTCGCCAGCTTCTCCTGTTAAGCCAGCTCTTTTCCTGCACATTCATGTGCCTGACCTATAACCACCTTCTGCTATCTAACCTCACAGGGACCGCCTGGCTCTCAGCCCTCGCCACACGCACAGCCTCCACCTCACAACCCCAACAGCATGATGGGACCCCACAGTCAGGTAAAGACATCGCAGGGCACTGCTGTGATATGTGTGTTCTGTGTGAACTCTCAAAGCATGTGGGAGCCACACCCTTCCGCTAACTTAACCAGCGAGCCGCTCCAGGGCAGTTTGCGGAGCGTTGTGAATTTACATCCACTCAAGATCCCGGGACCCCAAAATCGTTTTCATTCCACCTCATCTCACCTCCGCTAGGAAGTCTGTTCCTCTTGGCTGCATTTGTTCCATTGACATCAGATTACAAAGTAGCTTTCGATTTTCAGACATGCTAATTTACATACAAATATCATTATTTTTTAATCCTCCCCCCCCCAACCCCGACCAGCATTAAGACAATCATTGTACGGTTTAAGTGCTTGTTTTCACTACTTGTCATTGAAATGTTTTAAACTCTTCTCCCCAAACCGCACTTTCATTTACCAGTCTGTTTAAAAAGTATCTTAATATTCGCTTGGTACTTTCATTTGTGCTAATTTTAATTCTTGTCAAAAATTATTAAAACCATCCTAACCTTAAACAAATAAATACAGTAAAGCACAACAAATGTCAAAGACTTAAGAGTCTAAATATTTCTTATCAGCAGGGTTTTGTTTTGTTTGTTTTTTAAATGCTTCTGTGTGTATATGTGTCAAGTCTAATTACAAGTTGAATGGAATGCAGTATATTAAATCTTTCATTCATTTGGCCTGGAATTCACCTCAGAAATGTTCTGCTAATCAAATGCTCGGTTTGGGGAGTTTGTCTGTACGTGTGTAGAATAAGGGAAATACAATCAATTTTGGTATTTTAAAGAGCAGTTGTGAAGGAAGTGGTTATAATGTTTACTTCCACTTTTGAGCGTTCATTGCCACTGAACTAATTTTATATGCTTACAGCCTTTTATGTCACCAAGATACGCAGGAGGTCCCCGGCCCCCAATCAGAATGGGAAATCAGGTATTGTATTTCTTCAGTATTCGCAGCTAAAGCACGATTGAGGCTTTAGATGTTTATTCTTTCATTCATGTGCTTTTTAACACTGGGGTTGCAATGAGTTACCACACACAGACAAACACACACTCATTTCTTAAAGGGGGGGGGAGTTGTAAAGCTCTCAGATGATCTTTTGCCCACAAGATAATAAATGCATATATGTAGTAAATAGTGGGAGCTTGAGGGCAGAAGGATGTCCTGTCTGTAGCCAGCTTGCCGTTTGTTAAGTGGAGTTCATGCAAACCAGATTGTAAGATGTGCACAGAAGATTTACCGACTCTCAAAAAAAAATCTGCCATCCTATTGAGTGTCCTGCTTTTCTGGCCTTTCTTGACCAATGATCACATTAAATTCCTCTTTGAAATTGCTGCAGGAGGCTAGAACATAACAAGAACTCTGTTGGATTAGACCAAAGGCTTATCTAGTTTCAGCATCCTGTTTCCCACAGCAGCTAACTAGAGATGCCTCTTGGGGAAACCCACAAGGAGGACATGAGGGCAGAAACTCTCCCTCCTGCTGCGGTTTCCCAGCAACTAGAATTCAGAGACATTGTGCCTCCGTTCCTGGAGGTAGCATAAAGCCATCACGACTAGGTAGCCCTTGAAAGCTTTGTCCTCCATATACACTAACCACCTGCACATTTCCCAAACAATAACAATAATAAGGAATCTTGTATGCAGTTTGAATTCCTTTTTATAACTCTGTGCAGGATTTTAAAAAAATATATATATATAATTGTGGTTTACGTGTTGTTGTTTTTTTGAAAAATGTACATCCAGTGCCATCACACTCACTTATGGCTTTGTAAGTGGACTTGCCAAAACTGGAGCAGAGAGTTATCATGTTCTTGACTGTGTTGGATCTCACCTATCCTCAGTTGCAGAGGTCCTCTGTCCATTTTGTTTGAACTGTGCATAGCTCCTTAAGGGGCCCATAAAGCTATGCAGGAGTTTCACGGCACCTTTTATGCACCACATATTTCTAAGTTTTATATCAATATATCCATTTTGGAATACCAGTTCTCTGTCTAACAACAACTTCTATTAAGTAGTGAGGTTAAGAGGGATCTGGACTATATTTTAAAAAAATATTTTTTAAAGAAAATGTCCAAATCGCAAACTTGCTTATAGCTAGAGAGAGAGACGATATCTGTCTTTTCTCTCCAGCTTTATCAAAATATAGAAGGCACATTAAAGTTGAAAGGATTTGTTGCCCAAGAAAAAAGGAATCTTACCATTTCTACAAAACGTGTTGACGTATTTTAAATACAAGTGGCATCTTCATAATCTGTTCACTTCTGTTAAGTAAGGAAGGAAGGGGAAACGCTATCACCCTTGTTGATGAAATGTCATCTGTGTTGGCAAACAGATAACTTTCTTTAACGCAGTGCATTTCCCAAATGTATACCTTAAAATTGCACTGGCATCAGTAGCATTTCATTCAAGGACCTTCACTGTGAGACTCAGGCTGCATATGGATGACAGCTTTTTAAAAAATGAAGATATATGATAGATTCATGAGGAATGGGATATGCACACGTGGGCATCTGCAGGGAGGATAAGGAGAGTATCAAACCCCCCACCTATCCACCTGATAAGCCATCTTCCCTGGATTCCAAGTTTTCATTACAAAAAGAAGTGGAGGGGAAGCAAGTCTTCAGCCCTTGTTGAACCTGAAATATGAGGCAAAATATGCAGGTGCTACTCTGCTCATTCGTTTTGTTAAAAAAAAATATATGAGCCTGTTCCTCCTCCTGTATTTTTAGCCAATGAATGAAGGCATAGCAATGACTGATGTTTAGGAAAGCAGATCTAGCCAATTAGGCAAGAGAGAAATGGTATATTTAAGAAACTTCCTGGCTTGTTTTAAAGCTTTTGTTTTTCTCCAGTGAGGAAGTCATTGTTGTTGAATGGGGGTCAGGTACCTAGGCGTTTAGTGTAGCTGAGACTGGAGTAAAGGTGCCCCAAAACAAAAGGTAGCAGCAAAGTTGGAAGTTCATGATCTTTCTAACGTGGGTCTTATTTCACCCCCCCCAAAAAAAGTGATACCCCGTGAGTTTGTAACCCGTAGACTCAGCTATGCAGCTGCAAATGTGTTGGGAAGTGCAATACACTAGACACTAGATGGCAACTGTGAGCTATAGCAAATTCAATGTATTTTTCAAAAGGATTTTTTTAAAAAAAGCAACATTTTCACAACATTTAAAAAATGCATGCAGATTCTACCCTGATCAAAGCTTACCCTGCCAGTGCAGATAAACTCCATCACCGTTATAGCTATATATGTTTATTTATAAAGATTTAAATATAACTTTTCACTTCCAAAGTGGTCCCAAAGCAGTTTACAATAAAAATAAATATAAACCTAGTGATAAAACAAAGCAGTTCACACACTAAAACCTGCAGTAATGGAGGCTATAGTGTACTAAAACTCCAGAGCAGATTCAACCAAGCCCTCCAAAAACCTGGGAGGGCAGTTGTTTATGTCAAAGAAGGCCCTGAATGGCATGGCTTCTAAGTGATGGTGCCATTACTGATAAGGCCCTACCCTATATCCCCACACTGTGAACAAGAAGGAGCCCCCTGAGACAATCCAAGAGCCCAGGCTGGGTGGTGTGGGTAGAAGTGCTCCATAAGATACCTAGGTCCCCATCCATTGAGGGGCTTTTTAAGTTAGCTAGTCTCCAGTGTATGCATTTTCAATATGCTTGTGGAATATATAGGTGCTTGTGAAGGATGCTTATATTTAGCAGGTAACTGGAGTGGGGTGTTTGCAAAACACCCACAAACCAGATAAACACAGATGAACTTAAGGACCAAACCTAGAAGAATATTTAGCATCAAAAGAGTTGCCACAGTCAGTTAGCCCACTCAAACACCTGGAGCTATTTTACTCTGGCTTTACGGCATGAAAAGCATGATTTTTGAAAGTGCTATAGAAAAGGAGGCTTGTTTTCTGAAGAAGGCCAGGGTGGACAAAATTACAAATTGTGTCAGTAAGCCCATTTGGCCAAGGTAATGCAAAGGTGAAAGGCATTTCTAGAAGACCGTCAACAACTGGAAGGAAAGGACTGCTTAATCCTTCCTTCTGATTCTCCCCTAGAAATCCCCTTTTTTCAATGGCTAGTAGACAAGGGGGTTGTAGCATTCAACTATGCACACGTGAGACTCTAGGAACTGATGATAGATGAACTGGGATAAATAAGAGATATCACTTACCCATTCAGGGAATGAAGCGGAGGCCATTCTCCACCTACATGTGTATTGTGAAAATGATGTCCCATATGTTACATTTTCCTCATACAAATAAATGGTACTTTTAAAAATGCTGCTTTTTTCATTCCGCTCCCTCTGCCATACCTACCTTTCACTGTTGGCTTAGGGGAAAGTCGGCCAAGAATAACTGGAATGGGGGGGAAGTTTTCCTGTTCCTTTTTGAAGGAGGATTTCTAGGGAAGATTAAGCCTATCCTCGAATCAACCAGGTTTCCTCTGCAGACAACCACACAATGGCAATATGAGACAAATGCAGGGCTTATAGCAATTTACCTTGTCGGTAAATTGACCCATTTCCTTGAAGTCTAATGCTTTTGGGTATAGATATAAAAGTAGCTGAGCCAAAAGGGCCTTCAGCCCATGACTGGTTTTTCTAATTGCAGCAGCAAATGTAACAAAGCAATATTGATAATTGTACTGTGCATCTCCCAAGTATTTGATTTCCTCAAAATTGTTTCCTTTCCCCCATAGCCTCCAGGGGGTGTTCCTGGTACACAGCCCTTGCTGCCCAACTCAATGGACCCCACACGACAACAAGGTACATGTGATTCGGCTTGTCTGCAGCTGTTCTTTCCCCTTGGCCTATCCTTTCACCAAGTGCATTACTCTCCAGTAATAAAGTAACATCTTCCTGTCTCTCTTCTCTCGCTAGGGCATCCCAACATGGGAGGGCCGATGCAAAGGATGAATCCTCCACGAGGAATGGGGCCCATGGGTCCAGGTCCACAGGTAAAACCTGGGCAGAGCATTTCCTACCCTGTCCAGTGCCAAACAATAGCTTTGCTACTTTATGAAGTTAGCGAGCAAAACATCATAAAAGCAGCCTCTGGGAGCTTGAAGAGCTAGGAGCACTTCCATTCCTCCCAAACCTTTTCTTCCTCACCATTAGCGATAATGCATTTTACATTAGTGTGTTTACATGTGTCTGGATGGGGGTGGGGGGGGGGAATCCCACCTTCCAACATCTAGTTATGGCTTCAGAAGTGAACATCCTCATATCACGTACTTCATGTGCTCACCTGCTCCCACCTTCCATCTTTGCTCTTTTCATCCAAATGGGCAAACTCCGGTTTAATTGGACTCTGGTCAGGAAAGAATCTTACAACTTGAGATGCTAACCCTTAGGTGGGGTGCGGGTTTTGCGGGTACAATGCTGAATTTATTTCACTTAATTGTTTTTTGTTTTTTTTAATAATAAAATTTGCTGCAGTTTATTCTGCGCTTTATAGCACCGGTAGACACCCTATCGACTATGCAGGTCGACCCAAAAGGTGCTTGCATTTTCTTTTCTTTTTTGCTGCACAGCAAAGTGTATTTGATGTCCATACTTTGCATTTACTACATACTGCAGGAGGAATGATGGAGGGAAGAGGAGGGCTGACAAGTTACTTCTCAGATGCATGCCTTGGGCCAATCATGGCCCGTATCTGCTTTTATACAGTTCTGGTTCAGTCTTGGATCCCAGCATTGCTACCTCTGGTGGTAGCATCTCCTCAGCAGAACTCCACTCAGGGAAAGCTCCCGCCAGTGGACGTTGTGGGAGGTGGCATTCACCTTCTCACCCCTTCCTTCTGCAGCCCCTTGCATCTCCCTAAAATCGGCTCTGGAGGGTTGGAGGCTCTCTGGGACAGGGGGAAAGGGTTGTGGGGGAGAGAGAGAACACAGCAAAAAGCTCTTTCCCCACTTCCTTTTCTGGATCAAGCACCTTCTGAGGACGGAAGGAACAATTCAGTTAGTGGGAACAATTCAGTTAGTTGAATCCGTACCTCAGGGTTTGACCCTTAAGGATCTGGACAACTTCGTAGGCTGCCTAGAAAGCCATTGCTCCTAGATACCTAATTCTGTTGCAATACGTCTGTTTTGTGGGTTCTGTTGGTACTCTCTGAGCCAATGGATCAGTGTGAGAAGCTTCCAAGGGGACAGATGGAGTCAGATGGTGAAGAGAGAGAGATACAAGGTCCTCTCTCCAGTCTCTCGGCTGGTCCACTTCTTGTGCCATGGTTGGATCAGGTTATTGAGGTGCATGATGTATATTTACTTGTTATAAATAAGTGTTGACGGATGGTACTGAGGAATGTGCATCTCTTCTTTCACAGGCTTGCCGCTTCCCTGTGGACCTTCCTTTGCAATCCTGCTCTCTCCTTGTTCTCTTAGCATGCTTCTTCCTGAAACCTGACAAGTTCAGATACCTCTCTTTGCTTCCTCATATTAAACTTTAGGGACATTCAGGCCAGATTTTCCTTGACTTGGGGTAGTTACAGATGATCATTTAACTCATGGTCTCTTAAAGCATTGCTCATGTAACCATATGGAAAGCCTGGTCATTAGTAATACTCAGCTACACAGTGAGGCTTTTCTGTAGTGTCCAATCCAATATACTGAGGCACCTGTATCACATGGTTTGATACTAGAGATGACCAGCTTGCCACATGTGCACTTCAGAAAACAGTTGCAGGGGAACCATAACCAGTGGCCACATTTTAGTGAGGTCCCTTGCACTTTCTGAAACTTCTTTTGGGATTAGCTATCTGTGCAGTGGCTCAGTTCAGACAGCCTTCCAAGCCATGATTATGGTTCAGTGTTTGAAGGAACAGCATAGAAAACCGACTACAGATTCGACACCAGAACCCCAGCACACCATGAGTCCCTCACTAAAACTGATACTAAGAAAATGTCAGCATACCAAGGGATGTATTAACAGGGCCTAGTACACGTCAGAAAAGCGGCTTGCTTCTTTCCCTCCCATCTCCCCTGTCATTTTTACTAATACTATCAGGTTTGTCAATTTCAGCAACTGTGAAATCGTAATCATTTAAAGTGTTGAACTACCACTTTAAATGGGGGGGGGGACGACAACGTGCATAAAACGTTTCCTTGGGTTTCCTTGCAAATCGCTTTCATCCAGTAATACCCTGTGAAGTTCTTTGGATCTGCAGCTGCAGCAAAAGTGTTGACCCTTACAAACACCATTCCTAGGTAGCCACCTGTGATAGGTCAGCCCAGCACTTAAGGTTCTGCTGCTATTACCAGATTAACCTCAGGGTCAGCAAGTGTAAGGAGAAGGCTTTAAGTCAGACCATCTGTTTTCAGGCTAGGACTGGCAATAGCTGAGCAGGAGGCATAGGCAAGTGCAGAAGGAGGGCTTAGACTTGGAGAAAGTGGGCAGAATAATAGTTGCCTGCTATTAGGAACAACTTTACTCGAAGGGTCTTGATAACTCTGTGACAGCATCGTTGCAAAGAAAACAATTGGAATAGGTGCAGTATGAGCCCATGTTTCAATCTTCTGCATCTAATTTACACAAATTAATCCTTTTTATCATAATACATCAGCCTTTGTCTACCCAGGAACTTCAAGTTGTTGTCCATTTGCCCCAGCCAGCATGACCAATGATCAGGAATGGCCGAAGTTGTAGTCTGCAGACCCCCAGGTTTGGAAAGGCTGTGCAGCATAGCATCTGAAGGAGAGTGCAAAAGAGGAAGATAAATACCGTATTTTTCGCTCTATAATACACACTTTTTCCCTCCTAAAAAGTAAGGGGGAATGTGTGTGCGTCTTATGGAGCGAATGCAGGCTGTGCGGCTATCCCTGAAGCCAGAACAGCAAGAGGGATTGCTGCGCAGCAATCCCTCTTGCTGTTCTGCCTTCAGGGATACCCGCACAAAGCCTCTTCAACAACATTTGATTCAGAATATTATTTTTTTCTTGTTTTCCTCCTCTAAAAACTAGGTGCATCTTATGGTCCGTCTTATAGAGCGAAAAATACGGTAACTGAACTTCTTGATACTGGTGCAAAGTATGAACTTGTCCATTCGAACGCCAGTTGAAGCCACACACCTCCAGAAAAACCAAGAGAAAAAAAGAAAGTTGCTTGCATCAGAATCATTCCGGCAAGCTTAGATTCCAATCGCTTTGTTATCTATTTTAATGGTCTGGCACTGTTAGTGATGGGTACAAAGCTCTTAATAGTCCCTGATGTGTTATTATAACAGCTTGCATCTGTTATAGTTGTGTCAGCCAAACAAAGACTGCTTCAAAACTTTTGGATGTGCTGTACAACTTGGACAAGCCACGTGCTTGCCATCCCTACCAAGGGGCGTACTTAAGAGTGATTTCATTCCATTGGCGTTGTAGTTACGTAGGCATCTGCCGTGGTTGAATTTGCAGCTGCTGTTAAGTGTAGGTGCATGGAGTCTTTCTAAAGTCACGCATGAAATGTGTGTAGATGAGCATTCCCCGTGTCTAGCTCTTGTTTCCCTTGCTGTGGGTGTGGAGTTGTGGGGGGGGGGGAGTCATTTTTTGTCCCTTTGGTGCTTGCTTCTCATTCCAAAATAGCATTGGTCCCTGTTCCCAGCCAATAAGAGTTTAAACATGTCATTAATGAAAGTGTGGGGAAGGAGCTCTCCCACTTGTCCTGTGTTACCTGAAGTTAGCGAGGCAGGTGAAGCTCTTTGATTTGCTTTTTTAAAAAAATGGAGATTGTGACTATCCAGGTTCCCTAGCATTCAGCCAAGCAGTCTGTTTGCTTGCCAGGAGTATGGACTGTACTGATCGGCTAATGATCAGCAGATCTGTTGCCAGCTATGGCTGCCCTCTGTCAGGAGAAATGGAAGTGTTCCGTTCAAGAGTTGAGGGTTCCTGAGAAACCCTTGCAACAAAATCACAGCAGAGCTCTGCCTCGTGTTCAGCGAGCAGCTCTTCCGAGAGGGTGAAAGCGTCACTTATCAACAGTATGTAAGCCAGTTGCAATTTTGCTTTAAACTCTTTTCAAAGAGGAACCCGCTTTGAACCACCTCTCTGCTTTGTGCAGTCTCCATCAGGCCCTGCAGGGCAGCCATGTTTGGAGGGGAGCCAATCAGCCAGCCAAGTGTCAGCTGTCTTTCAGGAACCAAGAAAATCGGAATCCATAGCCGCCGACTTTAGATCTAGATTTACGACTTCAGAGAGGTGGGGAGGAAGCGGCTTCTTCAGGTGTTTCAGCAAGTGCTCACATGTAGACTTCCACAATAAGCTGCCTTTTCATCCCCAGCCCTTAATCGTTAGCTTTCCGTGGGCTTCGCAGCTGTGACAGATTGGCGCCCTTTCTGTCAGATTTCATCTTTTAGATCTCCTTTGCGAAACAAGTGGGACCTAGTACAGTTCTGTAGTATCTCTCTGGTGCACAGAAGTGAATTCGTGCTCTAACTTTGGTCTGTGTTGGGGAAACCGAAAGTGTTTGCCAGCCGTGTTTAATGGGAGAGAAATGACATTTTCTGCCCTAAGAATTGTCTTCTCTTTCTTGTGCATGAACACCAATAAAGATTTGCGCAGTTTTGTGACTGGCCAGCTTTGCTGTTTTGTAACCGAATGCTCTTTACTTAGAAGCTGTTGCAAACCTTTGTGCTGTCACTATTCCCCTTTCTGAACACCCCATCACGTGCTCATTGCCTTGTCTTCCTTAAAGCAGAATCTTTCTCTCTTCTGCCCACCCCACCCCACAGTTTTTCCTGCTTCTTTCCATGCAATTCTCCCACCACAACACTTAAGCAAGGAATCTTAATTCTTTCATGTCTACCTCTCCTGTTTGGCTTCCTGTGACAAGCCTCTCTTTTTCGGTTTGGTTTGTTTGTGTTTATTACCTTTCAAGATAACCATCTTACATACCCTTTAGGTGCAGCTACGGCTTCCTTGATGACCTGCATTGGCCAGTGCTAGAAGCCTTAGCCCACTGGGCATTCCTGGTACACTCCTACCATGAGATGGGAATTTGGGTGGCTTCTAAGATTTTCTTCCCCACTCCCCCCTTTAAAAAAAATTCATTTGCCTGGTCAAAGAGCAAATTGAGAGATGCTGCCGTCCTGTAGCTAATTTTGCCTATATGTTCATTATCATCATCTTTTTTTATTTTTTTAATTAAAGTTCATTTTCACAAACTAACCCTCTCGTTTTTGTTTGTTTTTTTCCTTTTCTCTTTTCTTCTCCGGTTTCCCTTCTCGTTATGGTAGACTGATCCTTGGTTATCATTGCAGAACTATGGCGGCGGAATGAGACCTCCACCCAACTCTCTAGGGCCCGGCATGCCTGGGATTAACATGTAAGGCACCTGCCATGCTGCTGGCTTTCTGTTGACGTTCTTACAATTCTAGACGTGGAAATCATTTTGGTTTCACATTGTCACTCTGTACATGCTGAAGGCTTGTTTTCTCTCAAACTCCAGGGGTCCAGGAGCTGGTAGACCATGGCCCAATCCCAACAGCGCTAATTCAGTAAGTGTCCATTTATTTGAATGCCTTTGTTCTTGTAAACTTGGCCCTCATAATTTAGTTTCCCTGTAGTACTTGAATTCCTCTCATTTGCCGCCTTCTGGCATTCTACTGTCGGGGTGAGTGGGGACAACCAAACTAACTAGGCCCACACTGCAGCCACCATTCCAGTCTGCTTTCATGAGTTGGAAGGAAAAAGTCTGAATCAGGGAGTCTCCTGTACACATGGGTCCCGCTTTCCAACCATAATGCGTTGCTGAGAAATGGCTCGTTAGGCGAGCATTCGCCTAACGGGCCAATCATTTCCTTTGTTTTCTATTGGGAAATCCCACTGCGTTCCCTGATAAAACAAGGCAACAGGAGAAACACCACATTTTACTACTCTATATCTACACCAGCATGGTCTCTTCACCCCGTCACCCTCCCCCAGTTCTTCCTCCATCTCTGATAAGTGCTACCGGCCTGCCCCTTTTCTTCCCGTTTTTGAACCAGTTCCACTCCGCCTGCCTGAATCTAACCAGTGAGTTAGTTGGTCAACAATGTCACTGCATGAGCCCGCGAGGACAGCCAAGTGAAGGCCTATGGGGCTGAGCTGAGGAGCTTCCTCCACTGCTGCAGCCGCCACCTCTTTCTCCTCCTTGGCCTAGGCCAAGAGTGAAGCCTATGATGGGGCTAAGGCCGGCGTCAGCACCAACTCCTCTTCTTCCTCCACCAGCTACTGCAGAGCAAAACTCACTCGCTCAGTCCTGAAGGAAGCCAAGGTCCTCCTCCTCCTCTTTTTCTTCATCCTTGGTGTCTCCCTCATTGTCCCAGCCACCAACCTGTCTGGCACCCTGTGGGCTTGGCTCTGACATGTTCTTCGCCGCTCAGGGACAGCGACTTTGCCCCCATCTCAACGACTGAGGAAGAGGCTTTGCTTGTGGGCTCGGATACACAGTAGGAAAATGTCAGGCTCACCATTGAAAATAAAACTCACTATTAAGCAGCACCATTCTCACAAGTCCAGCTGTTCAGATATCTGAATCAGCCGTTTGTATAGCAAAGTTTGGGCACAACTAAGCGAATTTTCACATAACAAGCGTTCAGTTAGCAGGACCTGTGTGTGCCAGTAGAGACTCTTGCGTGTTTTCCAACCCCAGAATATCAGGCTTCTAAAATGGTTGGAGAACTGCCACAAGTACAGGAACCTCCCTGCTTCAGACGTTGGCCATCCAATGGCGGCCAGGGGACAGAGCTCGTGTGCTCGTTCCCACTGCCCTCCCTTGTGTGCAATCTTTTAAGAGGGTTCCTGAATCTCTGTTGAAATGTGTTGATTCCCCTTCCCAGCATAGCTGTCAACGTTTCCCTTTTTTAAGGGAAATTCCCTTATTCCGAATAGGACTCCTCACAAGAAAAGTTGACCGCTATGCCTTCTCAGTGGGATGGTGGGATGTGCTCCAGTGTCCCTCTGCTCCTATCTTGGGTTCTCTGAACATTTTTTTAAAAAAAGAAAGACTGAAATTATGTTATCTGGGTTGTATGTATTGCGTCTGTCTCCTGGACACAGGTAACAGTTGTTGAGACCTCCAGGTATAGGGGGGTATATAAATTCAATAATAATAATAATAATAATAATAATAATAATAATAAATTTATTTGTATGGACTCTTGGCCTACAGTCATCACCTGTAGGATTCATTTCCCTGTACAGTTGGTATATTTCATCAAGTAATGCCTATACTCTGATCTTCTTGCAGATTCCATACTCTTCTTCATCGCCTGGTACATACGTGGTAGGTTTATATTTCTTTATGGGTAGTGATGTGCCGGTCCACCATACGATTCGATATTTTGGTGTTTGCGTGCACACAAATAGGAATCCTGGCTCAGGATACAAGTTCCTGCAGGGACTTGGTTCTGTGTCTTGTGTATTCGCTTCTGCGGTGAGGCCAAGAATTCTAAGAAGTCTGAGCTACATGCTTTCTGAGGAAGCCCCTTTCTGTTCCTCCAGACAATGTGAATAAAGCATGTATGAAGCCCCCCCCCCCCAGTCTTGAACATGCCTCAAAAGTAGGGAAAGAAATCCCTTAGCGACCCCAGCTGTGCGAATGATGCAGTGGTGGCGTAACTGCGTTTAAGGGGTCTCGAGAACGCATTTCTGAAGTTTCGCACGGTGATTACAATTCGCGTGTCGGCGGACAACTTTGAATTCACACTCCTCTAATTGTTCTGGAATGAGATCGTCCCAATGGCACATCCAAGAAGTACGTTGCAGCGTTCTAAGTTGCCCATTTCTGTTTGCACCTTCCGCAGATGTGAAGGTTATAGAAAGAATGCCCCCTGTTAACTACCCTGGCAGATAGACTTGGTATGTGGTCCTTGCACAGATGTGCCCCCCCCCCCGCTCCTCAGTAAAACCTTCATTTTTCCCGAGGCTTAAACAAAGAAATTGCACTTTGGCTACAAGAGTGCATCAAAGGTTTTAGCAGGAGATTAATGCTTGGCTGAATACCAAGGTGAGACATTGTTGCTGACAGCAGCAGGATCTGGCTGACCTATTGCAGGCTGTGTTATCACAGTGGTTCCTGATGTGTATTTAATCTTGTCAACAGGGGCCCCCTGGTGGCGGAGGTCCTCCTGGGACACCTATCATGCCTAGCCCCGCAGGTAAGGGTGAACGAAAGCAGCACTAATTTCCCCCCATTTTTTATTTTTTATTTAAAGAGAATGGAGAGCCCGGTAATGGTTGGGTTAGCTTAGCAGGTTTCCTATGCTGCTGGATTTTTATTTAAGGTCGCAACAGCAACAATCTGCATGCCACCGATGCACTGTTTGGCTATTGATTGGGCGCAGCTGCTGTAAAGCAACCCGACTCTTTTCAAAGGGAGAGGTTTTGTCTTCCGTTCCTCTTTCCCTGCCCTCGCTGCCAGCCACGTGCTGATGGCTTTTATTCTGCCAGGGCTTAAAACATGAGGGAGCCCCGCAAGAGGGGTATGAGAAATGGGGTTAGTGGGAGATTTGGCTGCACCAAAAGCCTTTCCTGAGGGGTGGGAGGCGGCATGTACCATACTTCGGCCTTGAGCTCCCAGTAAGCCATGTGGAAGAGGTCGCTGCGTCCCTTGATGAATTATCCATGTGAAATTTGACACCTTGGGAGAGGTGTCGGCAATTTTTTAAAAACCTATTTTTATGTTGGTAGATAAGGAAAAATCATTTGTGGGAGGGGTGGATTTGTAGAAGTTAACTAGGAACATTCTCCAGATATCCAAAAGAAGTTTAAAGAGGGTTATTGTTGTTGTTTTTAAGCCAGTCCCACCCACCTTTAAAAAAAACCCCAACTTCTTTAGGGCTGTTCTGCTCTTGGGTTGCCCAATATTAGCACCAGGAAGGCCTACACAAATCTCTTTTTGTTGTCCGGGTCAGTGTTGTCGTGTTGCCATATTTGTACTGGGAGTAAATTCCACTTTGTAAAACGGTGCTCACTCCCCAGGAGGCTGAGTAAAATTCCCTTCCCCCTTCGTGTATTTCCCTCGTAGTAAAGTGGGAGGGGAGGAAGAGAGAGTGTGTGTCAGTGTTGGGGCTGGTGAATATTTCTGATAGGCCTGCAAGGGTGATTTACTATACATTGCATGTGTCGGTGGCAAGAATAAAAGCGGGGGGAGTGGTGGCTCTGGGGAGGTAAGCCATGCCGCGTGTAACTCTCGTGTACCACAGCTGCAGGGGTGGAGCTTCAGTGTAGTATTACCACTGCCTTCCTGCTCTTGCATTTATATGAGAACTCTGACCTACATTTCAGACTAGGTCATAATAAAACAATCCATATGTTAATGTAGGCACCACTCCTCTCTCTTTCTCTCTCCCTCTCTCTCTCTCTCTCTCTCTCTCTCTCTCTCCTGTCACCATGGCCTGCTTTTAATTTGTGTATTTTTGTTTGTATTCTGCCCCTCAATTAAACACTTGTCTCGTAGTGCTTTCATTATTAAGAAAAATATTGGGTTTTCTGTTGTTGTTGTTTTTTAAAAAAATATTGTGACTAAATGTCATCCATGTATTTTGTTATTTTTTTAAAGATGAAATATGATGTTGTAGTAAGATAATTGCATCAGCTAATTTTGAGGTGTTATGCGACACATGGCAGCAAATTATCTTTCTACACCTCTCCTGGCAAGAAAGCCCCAATATTCTTGGTTAGTAGCAGAATTCTTTTCACAGTTGAATTTCTGTGATTAAAAACTTTGTGAATCTTCATTAAATACAAATTAGCCAGAAAATGGTGGTACTTAGAGAGAATTTTAGGTGATAAAATACAAAAGAATGAGTTCAAGTGGCATGAGTTTGTTTTAATTAAGAAATGAATTAATCACCCTGACTTAGTGGGTTTCACTGTTCTACAGATTCGACAAATTCAAGTGACAACATCTACACAATGATTAATCCCGTACCGCCTGGAGGCAGTCGGTCGAATGTAAGTCTGCTTTCTAATAATTTACATATCAGATACCATAACAAATCATAATTAACTTCATCAGTTGAGGGTAAAGCAGTTTAATTGATTTCAGCCATTTGTTACAAAACAGAAATAAAACAAACCATCAAAAAGTGATTAACTCTTCAGCGACTTTGTTAATTTTTTACGCTTATTAAAACAGCGGCGTTCACGCAGCTCTGGTCAAGATTGTCACGCACATTGCTGGTTAGCGGGGTTGCATTTAAAGGAGACACAGCTGATGCCCGGGCCTTTCTTCACCTTTTACTCAAGCTGATCTCAAAGAGATTCTGTTAAGATTACCTGCCAGATTTTTGTCTTCAGGACAATGCCAGCCCAATATTTCAGATAAGCAGCTCTTATTGGGGAAGGGAGCTCTTTCCTGAATACTACTATGTTCAGACCTAGTTTTTCAGACTGAACTAGTCTAAACTCCAGTAGCTGGATGATTGCTTAAAGTGTGTCCTGTCCATTTCTCAGAAAACATTGTCCAAAGAGGATGGAATACAGAACAGAGAGGAGGCAGATGAGGAGCAAACACTTAAATCTCGGGGTTTTAATTCATGGGATGTTAGGAGAAGCAAACTGATGATTGCAAGAATAAAAAACAACTGGGGTCTAAATACAGGTGTTGTGGCTTAATCCATTAAAGCTAAAGCAATCTGGTCCTAGCCAGTATTTGGATAGAAAACTGTCAAGGAATCCAGTGTGTGTTTCCCTATGTAACTTGGATGAAAGGCAGGGGTACAATTAGATGACATGGAGCCTAAAGAAATCTTGACTGGCAACTGAAACATTTTGGCAGATGAGATTTCAGAGGCCTGGATTAGTCATGTTATTAGAAGTTCCACCTCTTGCACTACTTCTGTCACTTAAGGGCAGGATTCAGCAAATTGGCCCCACCAGCAGAAGCCCATGCATGGACTTCCGCTAGCTTTCCTCCCTCTCCTCCCATGCCCACAAAACTGGCTCTATGGGGATCAGGAAAACACCCAGAAGTACCTGCAGGGGGAAGAGAGGGCAGAGCATTCATTTCATCATGCAAGCAGAAAGATTTGTGCTAACGGAACAATTTGCTTAATGCTATGTTGAATTCATCCCTGGGTTTGCACATGGCAAGTTGGAGATGGCTTTTATATGGACCCTGCATATGGTAGTAGTTTGCGGTCGAAGGGTTCCAGAATGCCCACACATGGTGCTGAAGTAGAGGGGGGCAGCAAAATTTCTGCACAGCTGAAAAGCACAGTAGTTGTGGCATGGCCGGGCGTAGGCCATCAGATGCCCAGACAACCATGTGTTAAGCTGGACAGCAGCTGCTCCATTTGGCTATCCACTTTGATCCAAAAGAGAAGAGCAGAGTTCCCCGCAACTTCCTTGTCAGGATTGAGTCTGCCCACAGGAGTGGTACAAGATGCAATAGATCAATGGCTTCTTCAGAGAAAGAGAGGGTGTGTTTCAACACCTCCTCAATTTGGAAGACACATACCCAGTGGGCGATGGTGGGTTTTCAGTGCAAACTGTTGTTTCCTAAAGAACTTTTCATTATTTTGTGTTTTAAACAGAATTCAGAAACCTCGGTTTGCAGAGCATTGCTGCCATTGGTGTTCTGAAGCATCTAGCTGCCAATAGACATACAAGCCATATTGTATGTTGGATATTTTATAATATGAGTGATGTGTCGTAACTGACAGCTCTTTCTTTCTTTCTTTCTTTCTTTCTTTCTTTCTTTCTTTCTTTCTTTCTTTTTCAGTTCCCCATGGGACCTGGCTCAGATGGCCCAATGGGGGGCATGGGTGGGATGGAGCCGCATCACATGAATGGCTCATTAGGTAAGACTTCAGCAATATTCAGTGTTTTTGGACTATCTTCTCATGGGACATCCCAGAACCAGCAGTGATAAAATGAATTCTAGTTGCGCACTTTGTCATTTTAACTGTATAGGATGTGCAATCACAAACACGTTTTAACATTCTTCATGTACTTGTTCCTAGCTGAAAACATTGCTTTATGTTAATGTGGGAGTGCAGAATTTTTGATTGGTGGATCAACACCAGGCAGTGGAATAGTTGTTTAACATATGTTATAATCTGTTTGGGTCCAGAATTAGAGTGCCCTTGGTACAGAACCTTGGGAGGACATGCAGCGAACCACAAATTGCTTTGATTGTTGCTTTTTGCAGTGACCCTGGTGTACGGTTACTTTGGGGGTGTATTGTTGAAATTAAAATAGCAGTCACCCAGCACTGCACTCTAGGGGGGAAATGTTTGAATCAGGGATTAGTACAGGTATTGGTTCTTGCAAGGACCACTTGCAAAGGTGGTGGGGTGACCCTAGTCCTAGCTAGACTCGACACCCAGGGCCTTTGTCCTGATACTCTGCAAAATCCTGTAGCAGATGCTTTCTGACCTCAGAGATCCTAGGGCTCTGCCTGTTGGCTGATGCGTGCTTTCAGCATTTGTTTTTGTGATGCGGATCCTGTTTGTTTCCAGAGCTTTGGGGACTTGCTCAGTCAGTGCTGGTAATCTGCAAAGCCCAGTCTTGTGAGGGCTTGGCCATTCCTGACACACTCAGTGTAGGAAAGTAGCCAGGGAGCAGGGACTGCTGGTCCCAGGCTTTGCCAGGCTCCTGTTGATGGATAAAGGCGAAGCGGCAGCATCAACCTAACCGTGGCACGAGTGTTTTAATTAAAGCAGCAGAAAGACCCATTAACCTCCTATGTTTGCCTTATACATCTTGCTGAAGTAGAGGTGCTATACTCCATCTTGATCAGTGTCACGAAGCTCGCGGGAGGGAGCCGAGGCCGTAGCAACTCGATTAGGCCATTACTCTAGTGCCGTGCAGGAAGGTGAGCCGGGGCTCTGCTCCCGGGAGTTCTGCATGCAAAGGAATGGCAGCTGAGGCAACCCCAGCATGTCCCTTTCTGGAGGCAAATGTTAAGAGGTTTGCATTAGCCCAGCTGTGACCTGCAGCTCACTAATGTACTGCCAGCTGCTTCCGGGAAGGCCAAGGCGGAGCTTTTTGAAGTCTTATTTCTGGATGATGGTTCAGGAACTGGACACTTCGGTGCAGAACGGGGGTGGGGGGAGTGGGGAGAGCTGATGGGGGGGGCCCTGATTGAGAGCAAGGAAATCAGCTATCCCCCACTAACAGCCTACCTTTCTTTCCTTTCTTTTGTTCTTCTTTTGCAAGGGTCAGGAGACATAGATGGACTTCCAAAAGTAAGTCTGCATTCTTAGACTGGGCCATGTTCTTTTGTTCTTGCTTTCATGGACAAAATAACAACTATGTTGGGGGGTTAATATGGGACCCTGGGGGTAGGGGCAGGGAGGGAGTACTGAAGCTCTGCCCTTCTTTTCTGCCCTCTGTTCACCAGTGCAAGGACATTTTCTCCCTCTTCCCCCCCCCTTTGCTCTTAGCCCTGTGAGGGAGTCATCAAACACAAGTCATTTTCTCATATATATTTAGCTATCCATGTGATCTTTTTTCCATTGTAGAACAATATGTTTTTGTTGCAGTTGCTAGTACGCAGCATACTCGAAAAGGCACACACTCACTTCTTGCATGTGTATCTCTGTGTGGTCTGTTGTTTCTTTTTAAAACAAAAAAAAACACCTGCAGAATTCTCCAAACAACATAAGTGGCATTAGCAATCCTCCCGGCACTCCACGAGATGATGGTGAACTGGGAGGCAACTTCCTCCATTCCTTCCAGAATGACAATGTGAGTCATCCTTACACCAACTCTTCATGCTAACCGGGGTTTGAATCACAGAGCCTGTGAGGCTCTTTCAAGCTATTTCTGGGAAGGAATCATTGATATGTGCAGAGAGGGGAGAGGGAGGAGGTGCTATGTGATCATAAAAGGGTGGGGGGAGGGAACTAGACATGGAGAAATGGCAGCTTTGGAGCTGACAAAACTTGGAAAAGGTACACAGTACGGCATATTGAGACCTGACATACCTTTCAAAGACAAAAGGTATAAATGGTTCCAAACCGAGGTGATTAAAATAGAGAAAAGAAACCATGGTTCGCTTGTCTTTCTAAGCCATGATTTGCTTAGCTTAACTGCTGTGCTTTGCTTGCATCTCTGAACCACCCACTCCAGCCAACTAATTATGGTTTGCCCGTGGACAACAAACCAGACTGTGAAACCATGGCTTTAAGCTGGTTTATGAAGCTATGCCTACAAAACAAGAGACAGGAGCAGTCAGAAAACGAAGCCAACATTGGACAGCACAAGCCATAGTTACTTGACTCATTTGTGAGGGTCTTCCTGGTTTGATCAGCAAGCCATGGGTTATTAAGTTGGACCACCCAGCAATGTAGTTACCACTTCGAAACATGATTACAGTCAGCGGGCAAGCAGCAAATTAATATGTATGGCTTCCAAGCACTGTATATGTGAGTGAGTGAGGTCACATCTGGCAGTCTACATGTCCATTTCATGCTGTTTCCATAACAGTGATTTCAGTGAATGTGAAGCATCTAAATAGAAGGATTCCTCCTGCTCACTAGAGGAAGGCCTCATCCTGCCCTCCCCCTTGTTCTGGAGTGTCATCTGGCGCTTTGGAGAAACTTTCCAGGGTGGGAGGGGGAGAGGAAGAATCTGCAATGGCTTCCCTCCTTTCCTCCTGTGAGGGGTCCTGTGGGGACAGAATTCTACCCAGGAGTAGTCTCAGTTGATAGTTATTGCACCAGCCATGTATATCCATGTTTTGCATAGTAGCATATGCCAAAGACTGAGCCCTGCCCTGCCCTTCAGAATTCCCAGTCAAAATTTAGATGAGCAAAGGGGAAGGGCTAGGAAAGCTGCCTGCCTCCTTTAGTTGAATACGTCCATACATGAGATCCTAATGCTCCTGCATTTCACTCCAGATGTAGTTCTACCAGTGGTACTTCATTACATGCAGTGGCGCCTTGAAATGAAACACAGTATGTTTCCTATAAAAGACTGTAAACTGGCACTGTATTTATCATTATATACATTGGGGGGGGGGATTTTTTTTTTTTAAATTGTGTTCTGCCACATACTGTTTAGGCTTTTTTTTATTATTATTAAACTCTCCTTTACCCCCCAGTTTGGCAAACTGTGGTTTGGGGAAATGGGAGCGATTATGTCCTGATAAATTAGTCTTTAGCATATTCTAGTCCTCCTGATTTATTGAAGCCAATTACGTTGCTTTATAGTTTTCATAAGCCCACATCTCTTTCATATCTCATTTCCTCAGCTTCCGCAACATTTAGCATTTTGGTCTTGTTCTTGCCTCACTCTAACGCTGTGATTTCTCTCTTTCTCCGCCCCCTCCCCGTTTCCCTCCCAACCGCCCAGTATTCTCCCAGCATGACGATGAGTGTGTGATTTCCCTCCTCCCTCACCCCGCATCCTCTTCTCCAGGATAAAGAAAAAGTCGGCTGCCATTTGGAGGATCTCAAGAAATTATGCAAGAAGAGAATCTAGGTGTGTTTGGCAGGGAGACATGCAGAGAGCCGGGGGGAGACCCACCCCTGATTTTTAGTTTCATGCAATAAAAAGGCTGAACTTTTTATTCCATAAAACAATGAAGGACAAATCTTTAAAATATTTCAAGACATGACCAGATCCTTCTGCAGAAGAAGGGTTTATTCTATGTACATGACACTTTTTTGTTGATTTTTTTTCTTTGGAAACAAAACAAAAGCCTCTAGCACCCGATTTCCAACCTCCTTTGCTTGATTATTCTTTTAAACCTGTTGTATGTTTGTGCTGTGCTACGCAAGGAAGCTAGTCTAGATATGAAATCTCATGTTGTCTCTGTAGCCATTTTAAAATAATTAATAAAACTGGAGAGTTTGGTTTTTTTATATATAAATTGGTGGGTTTTGTTCGGAAGACCACTTCCTCCCTCTCCCCCCCTCACCCCCAACTTCTTTTTGTTTTGGTTGGTTTTTGTTCCCCCCCGCATTTGATGTTTTGCAGCACAAAACATTCTCCAGCAAGGAAGATCCAAGTGGAACAGAGTTCTTCTGCCTCATTCTCAGTTGCGTAATGCAGCTTGGCCCCCTTGTAGGATCACATCCTCCAAAACTTTTAATTGTGATCTTGGTATCTGTGACTGTGGCATGCACTGTATTAGCCCCCTCCCTCCCTTGTCCTTCTCCCCAAATTACAAAGAAATGTTATTAACTCCCCTTTTGCAAAACTTTTGAAGTGTCAAAAATTCCGGGGGTGGGCGGGTAGGTGGGGTTAGGGTACGTGGCATTTTATTTTTTATGTTGGGGAGGTGTTGGTCCACCAGAATTGAAAGGGAAAGGGGTTAAAAACTTGACCTGGGACACGAAAACTGTGAGCGCAAACTTCTTAACATTTGTTTTTTGTTTTAATGAAATGATGTGATCTTATTAGGGTTTCACTGTATATGCTCTGAAACTGGATGGAGATATTTTTAAGTAATTATTGTTGTTAAAATGTATACTTGCTATTCTGTAGGCTCTCTCTCTCTCTCTCTTACTCTGTAATTAAAAGCAAAATTAAAAAAAAAACCCTTACCTTCTCATGGTAGAGGTGACTACAGAAAAGCATACAATGTATAGTGAAACTCGCAAGTCTTGGGATCTCTGTACATTACACTCCCTTGTAGCTGGTCTTTGTTTTATATAAAAAGAAGAAAAAACTTCACTTCTGATCTATGTATTTCATATTATGTAAAATATTATCTTCCCCTGGATTTACCTACCTTTGTGCGGATTCTTGAGAACATTGTATCTTGTTTCAGTGTTTTTTCTTACCTTGTAGTCTGGTTCTAAAATTAAGCGAGGGAAAAGAAAAGTAATTATTATACATTGTAGTTTGTGTACGATATTTGTTGATAATGTTTTATTAAAGGGATGTCTTTTTTCCGCACCCCTTAACGAAATGTTTTTTTTTTTTGTTTGGTTTTTTTGGGGGGAAACATTGGCTTTTTATTATTCTGACTGAAAACAAAAACTATGTGAATTGACAAACTTTTTTAGTAGTACGATGACTTTTTTTAATGTTTGCCTTTTTCTTAGGCATTTTAATTGTGTTTTCTCTGTAGAAATATGATGGGGGGGTGGGGTTGACAAATGGTTGGTCTCTCAGTCAAGAAAATATTTAAAAGCGGGTTGGCGGGGGGGATAAACCGGCAAACCAATTTGTCCCATTGCTAATGCAGCACCCTTTCTATTTTTTTTAAAGGATAACTGACAGGTTTCATTGTATTAAAGTGATAGCTAAATTATTGTCTTCATTGGTTCGGGGTGGTTTTTAAAAAATGAATCAAGACCCTCTCCTCTCCCTTTCCCCCCATGCTGTAATAAATATAAACATTTGATTTCAGTCCCTTGCTGTTTGTTACTGTCGTAGCAGTAGACTCTCGTGCCTGCAGTGGTTCCAGAAGAGATGGCTTGGGGTGTAGTCTATGGTCATCGGCTGAATTCGTTATTCTGAAGACACAGCTAACTGCTTGTCACAAAGGTTATAGGTGTGTTGGATTCCAGGCTCCTGCTGCCACTTTCGTTTTTAAGACATTATTATCCTGTTCAGTCAATATTGAAAATGCATAGAAAAAGCAGCTCGAGAACAGTATAATATCAGACAATGGAGGAACAGCAAATCCAACCCTACTATTAGACAGAGTGAGACAGCTGCCTCAGGTGGCAGATCTTTGGGGGCAGCAGCTCTCTAAGTTTTTTCCTTCTGTTGGAAATAACTCAAACTCCTGCCCTTGAAAGAAGGACACTGTCCCATTGGCAGTGTTGAGATAACGAGATAATGAGCTGCTTGTGAACGTGGAGTAGAGTGCTTGTTTATGTGTGCCATCTTGTCCTTTGCTTTAGGCAGAAAAAAAGGCCATTCAAGATGGTGGCAGCAGTTCTAAAGCTCCTAGAAATAAGGGTTATAAGGAGACCTCCAGAAAAGCTACCGTGTGTTTTTAAAACAGCAAAAGTCCTGTGGTCCTTCCTGCTAGCTGCTCACAAGAAGCAGAAAAATGAACCTGCAGTGGTGTTGAGTTTGACACCGTTCGCCCGAAAAGGCTTGCGCTGTTGTGATCTGTGAGGTATGGCTGTACCCATGTGATTGTCAGTGGAGGAAGCCTGGATTACTGCCTTCAGGGTGGCATCGTCATACTTGTGGAAGAAGTTGCTATCTAAGGGTGTTGTGACCTACTTTTGCTCACCTCTGGGAACTTTGGACTTCTCCAACGACACAGCTCCTTTCTAAACGGCAAGCCATTCCTGAAAGAGAGTTTCATTAAGCTGCTTTTGAAACGAAGGAAAATATACCAGCTCTTTGGGATTGCCTGTGGTATAGTTCTGCGAATCCTGGCCCAGGAATCTCTGTGCGGGATATTGTTTCAGCTATACAAGTTGCAAATATATGCAGGGAAGGTGCCAGTCCTGTCTAGCCATACCTAATTATGTTGGTAGTTATTTTGTAGTACAGTGGTACCTCGGGTTACATACGCTTCAGGTTACATACGCTTCAGATTACAGACTCAGCTAACCCAGAAATAGTGTTTCAGGTTAAGAACTTTGCTTCAGGATAAGAACAGAAATCGTGCTCTGGCAGCACGGTGGCAGCAGGAGGCCCCATTAGCTAAAGTGGTGCTTCAGGTTAAGGACAGTTTCAGGTTAAGAATGGACCTCAGGAACGAATTAAGTACTTAACCCGAGGTACCGCTGTACATTGAAGAGCTGACAGAAGAAGAAAAAATTCTTCCAGTTCACAAGAGCTCCGCTACCTGGTCAGTTGAAGCTATTTTTTGCATAGGTGACTGGCTGTTTAGTCGCTCCCAGGCCTTTGCAGGGGAGATTGCGAAGAGGTCCCTCTAGCCATATGTGGTGCAGCAGGGCTGGGGTAGGGGGACCCCAAGGGCCGCATCCTTTTCTGGGTCACCTTCCAAAGGGCCACGTGGTAATGGTGGGTGGAGCCAGAGGGAAAAGTAGGTGGAGCAATGGGTGTGAACCTTTGTCTACTGGGCTAGTTTCTACACACGTTCACACACAATTCTCTGTCGTCCATCAAAGCAAGCAGGAGATATGATCAGAGTTCAAGGACACCTTCCAGCCAGGCATAACCACTCAAAAGAGGATGTGAAGAAAGGACAGAGGCTGCTGTGCCTACAGGTTGATGCTGAGGAGCAGATCCACCTCCATAGTGGGCTGCTCCCACAGCAGTTACTTCTCAGCTCGCTTCTCTCTGGTGTGGAGAAACGTTACGGAGATGAAGAGTAATTTTTGCAGCAGTGGTCTTTGCTACTCTTCTCATCATGTGAGGAGGAAGTCCTTGTGCCGTTATAGTATGAGCACATCCAACAGCTGCTGGCCGTCTTGAGAACGCCGACTATGGATGCTCCACATCAGGATTAGTTGGATAAGTAAACACAGCACCCACCGTTCAAGCAACGTAGTGGTGCAGTTGTACAAAACTCTGTGCACTTTTGTAATCGTATTTTGAAAGCAGTGTTGATCCTTCCACTTGCAGTTCAGAGCTCAGTCATGCAACCAGCAGTGTGGAAAACTGCCCAGTGCATGTAACAAACCTGGGCAATGTCTTGCAGCACTAGAATTCATCTTAAGCAGCAGCTGCTAGTCATAGAATCTTAAAAGTTGGAAGGGACCCCAAGGGTCATCTAGTCCAGTGTTTCCCAACCTTGGGCCTCCAGCTGTTTTTGGACTACAACTCCCATCATCCCTAGCTAGCAAGACCAGTGGTCAGGGATGATGGGAATTGTAGTTCAAAAACAGCTGGAGGCCCAAGGTTGGGAAACACTGATCTAGTCCACCTCCTTACAATGCAGGAATCTCAGCTAAAGCATCCATGACAGATGGCCATCCAACCTCTGCTTAAAAACCTGCAAGGAAGGACAGTCCACCTCTCGTGCGAGTCTTTTCCACTGCCAAACAGCTCTTATGTCAGAAAGTTTTTCCGGATGTTTAGTTGGAATCTCCTTGCTTGTAACTTGAAGCCATTGGTTTGAGTCCTACCCTCCAGAGCAGGAGAAAACAAGCTTGCTCCCCCTTCCATGTGACAGCCCTTAAAATATTTGAAGATGGCTTTCATATCTCCTCTCTGTCTCTTTTCCAGAATAAACATACCTAGCTCCTTCAAGCGCTCCTTGTAAGGCTTGGTTTTCAGGTCCTTTATCATCTTGGTTGCCCTCCTCTGCACATGTTGCAGCTTGTCAACATCCCTCTTAAATTGTGGTGCTCAGAATTGGACACAGTATTCCAGGTGGGGGTCTGACCAAGGCAGAATAGAGTATGACTATTACTTCCCTTGATGTGGACACTATACTTCTGTTGATGCAGCCTAGAATAGAATTAGCTTTTTTGCTGCTGCATCACACTGTTGTCTCATGTTAAGCTTGTGGTCTACCAAGACCCCTAGATCCTTTTCACATGTACTGCTAGTAAACGAGGTGCCTCCCATCCTATATTTGTCTGGTTCTTCCAGCCTAAGTGCAGCCATCTGATTAAAAGCAGAAAAGGCCCGCAACACTCTGCTTCCTCCCTCCTGGTTCTCTAGCATAAGGACTCCCAGAATGGTCTGACTTCTCCCAAGTATTTTTTTTTTTACACAAAGAGCAATACTGGGAGGAATTCAAAATGGTGCTAATTGCTCTTGTCAGCTCAGCTCAAAGCATTTTTGCTTGCCTGGTAGAACAATCTCCTGCATGCTGTTCTGGTGATTCTCGCAGAAAAAATCTCCAGGGAATTTGGGGGGCATATGGTCCTGGCGTGCTCTGGTCCATGGGGTCACGAAGAGGAGGCATGACTAAATGACTAAACAACAACATGGGGGAGCAGTAGGCCTTGCATGGGCTTCCGCTAGCAAGACCCACTGAATCCAGCCCTCCATATACAGTGGTGCCTCGCAAGACGAAATTAATTCGTTCCGCAAGTCTCTTCGTCTTGCGGTTTTTTCGTCTTGCGATGCACGGTTTCCCATAGGAATGCATTGAAAATCAATTAATGCGTTCCTAGGGAAACCGCCTTCAGACCAGGTCCGGGGACAGTCTGTCCCCCGACCTCTTCTGAAGGCTGGGGGGGGGACAAGGGCTTTTCTTCCCACTGCCAGCCTTCAGAAGGCTGTTCTGAAGGCTGGCGGTGGGAAGAAAAGCCCTTCTTCCCACCTCCCGCCCCGCAAGCTCCGGGGACAGGAGGGCTTTGCTGCCGACCGCCAGCATTTTAAAAGCCCCTGCTGTCCCGGGGCGATTTTAAAATGCTGGCGGGCGGGAGCGAAGTCTCCGCTGCCCCCGAGGAGATTTTAAAATGCTGGGGGTCGGCAGCGAACGCTTCGCTCCCGCCCGCCAGCATTTTAAGATCGCCCGGGGCAGCGGAGAAGTCTCCGCTGTCCCGGGAAGGCAGGCGGGGGGAGCAAAGACTTTTGCCCCCGCCTGCCTTCAGAAGAGGTCCAGGACCTCCGGGGGTTCCGATGCCCGGCGGCGGGGTGAGAGGTTCCCGCCCCCCCGCCCCGCTTCGGAGCAGCGTTCCGAAGCGGGGCGGCTGGGGCAGGTGTTCCCGCCCCCCGCCCCGCCTTCGGGGCAGCGTTCCGAAGCGGGGCGGCTGGGGCAGGTGTTCCCGCCCCCCCGCCCCGCTTCGGGGCAGCGTTCCGAAGCGGGGCGGCTGGGGCAGGTGTTCCCGCCCCCCCGCCCCGCTTCGGAGCACCGGGAGAAGCGATCTCCCCGCAGCCCTTGCTTCAAAAGTGGTCCGGGGGCAGCGGGAAGTGCTTCCCGCTGTCCCCGGACCTCTTTTGAAGCAAGGGGCGGTGGGGAGAAGCGATCTCCCCGCAGCCCCTTGCTTCAAAAGAGGTCCGGGGCAGCGGGAAGCGCTTCCCGCTGTCCCGGACCTGGGGCTGCGGGGAGAAGATCGCTTCTCCCCGCCGCCCCTTGCTTCAAAAGAGAAGACCCGCTGTCCCTGGGCAAGCTTCGTTTTGCGAAGCAAGCCCATAGGGAAATTCGTCTTGCGAGGCAACTCGAAAACGAAAAAACCTTTCGTTTTGCGAGTTTTTTCGTCTCGCGAGGCGTTCGTCTTGCGGGGTACCACTGTATTACCTTTTCACATCTAAACAACACGGCACTTGGTCTAGCAACACTTAAACCCTGATTCATCCCAGGGACAGGGAGCAAGGCAGTTGATGAATACTCATGCAATAGAGTTACAGCTTCTCTTGGGGCCAGCATTTCAAGTATTTTGCTCACAAGCTGTATGGAGGGCCTTCTTTTAAAATGTACCAAAATATTGCACTAAGCTGTGTTTCGCAAAATTTATTCATACATAATTTATTCTGATCTATTAGGGATCAGAGAGGGACAAAGCATTTCAAGCTCTGGG